CCCCCGCAGGCGAGAGCGTCGGCTCGCCGTCCTCCTGCTCCGCGGGGCCGCCGGAGACGCCGGCCCGGGCGCGCGGGAGCTCGGAGGATGGCAGCACCGGTGGCCTCCAATAAACCGACGCCGAGCCTCGAGACGGGGGTCAGTGCAAACGGGGGTCAGCCAGGGCGCCGGATCCTGCAGGATCCTGCGAAGGTCCCCCTTTGGCTGACCCGGGTCAGGGAGCCGCTCGTGGCCGCGAGGCGGCCGCGCGTATTGGCTGACCCGGGTTTGCGAGGACCTGCGTTGCAGTTTTTTTTCTTGCATTGCAGTTTTTGGTTTCCTGCTGAACCGGGTCTGGATTGACCCGGGTCAGAGGATCCCCGAGACGCGAAGATCGGGACAAAATCGGATCGGGATAACTCGAAATCTCTGAGAATCGGCGGGTTTGGAGGATGTATTGGGCGCCGCGGCCGCTCCAGAGCGTTCCGGAACGCTCCGAGAGCGCTCCGGAGCGCTCTGGAGCGATTTATCCTGATCCGAGCCCTGTTTTATCCAAGCGGCGTGGTGACCACACCATGGGGCGAGCCAATGGGGGCTCGGGTTAAGTCGGGCCTGTCCCCCTACAGGGGGATTCTGGAGGAAAAATAAGCCATACTCTAAACATAATTTTTAAAAAGTCCAAAAGTAGTCTGGGGACTATTTTTTGAGTATTTTTTGACCTTCTTGGGGTATTTTTTGTTTTTTCCGTCGAAAATCCCCCGGTAGGGGGACAGGCCCGACTTAAGGCTTGGGGGTCACCGCGCGATTTTGGGATTCGGTCGTTCTCCGAGGACGTCTCGGGCGACTGGGGCCTCCGAGGTCCCCGCACCGTGCGGTGACGGACCGTGCGATGGGGTCCCTCTGGATCTCGAGGTCACCGCACCGTTTGTCACCGCACAGTTGTGGGACACCTAGGCAGCACCCAATGCGGTCACGCGGCGGTCGGCTGGGATCGCTCCTCCCCTTCCTCCCTTCCCCCCTTGCTCCTCAGTCGGGGTGGTTTTTGTTGGCCTGCCTGCTGCTGCTGCTGCTTCTGCCGCTGCTGCGGCTACTCTTCTCTCTCCCAAGGTGCGTTCTGTGCTTCCGCTTGGTGTCGGAAAGGTAGCGTGGGCAGTGTCGCCGCAGGCCCCGTTTTTGCACGCTATCCCCATTATGGGGATAGCGTGCACGGGGGAAGCCCTGGGAGGGGGATAGCGTGCACTGAGGCAGGCGGGCGCCTCAGGGGGATAGCGTGCAGGATCTGGAAAGGGTGCGTTAGCGAGATTCGGGGCGCGTCGCCAGCACGCTATCCCCGGTTGCCCCATGCGGCTCTATGTGAAAGGGCACGGTTGCAGCACCCCAGGGCATAGTAGTCGACGCAAGAGACGCATGGTTTCAGTTCCCAGGCCATCCCTATGTAAAGACACACTTGTTTCATCTCAAGGCTACAGGATCTCATAGGAGAGGCCTTACGGCCGGTGCCGCCGACCCTGGACGACGATGACGACGACGACGACGGCGACAACGATCCGGGGCGCTCCCGATGTTGGCTCGTTGCTGGGTGGTTGGGCGGGTCGTAGCATGAATACGTTTGTGGAGGACGATCAATGGAGAGGAAGCATGCTGCCACATAATTCCCAGATGTCAAAAGATGTGCTAAGCACGTTTCAAACATGTAAAAACATGTGCAACACATGTTTGGGACATGTTTTCGACATGTTAAACACATGTTAAATTCAATGATCGGACTGTTAGGGTGTCCATTGTCGTGGCATCCACAAGAGTGCGTAGCACCCCGCAGCAGCGGATAATGGTGAGGAGGGTGCCCTCTGGGAGGGGTAGTCGCCCCCCCCTGTTGGTTTCAGTTCTCAGGCCGTCCCTATGTAAAGACATGGTTTCAGCTCCGAGGCTACAGGATCTTATATACGTAACACCTGGTTTCGGTTCCCAGGCCATGTGACATTATGTAACAGCGCACAGTTTCAACTTTCTGGCCGTGAAACAACATGTGAACGCGAATGGTGTCAGCTACCAGTCCACATGAGGAAGAAGAGGAGAATTGCCGAGAGTTGTTGAGGAGGAGGGCCTGCAGGACAGTCCTTGGTCATTCGAGGATGAGGAGGCCGAGGGGGAGGATCAGGAGGAGGAGGAGGAGGGGAGGAGGAGGAAGAGGAGGAGGAGGAAGAGGAGGAGGAAGAGGAGGAGGAGGAGGAGGAGGAGCAGGAGGAAGGCAAGAAGGGGATGGGATGACGGTAATCATCGGAGGAGGAAGAGAAGGAGGAGTTAGTGGAGGGATAGGGGAAGGAGGGGATAGCGTGCATCTCACATCGTCTTATGTATCCTCCTCCTCCGCCTCCCGCCTTCTCCTCCCTCTCCTTCTCCGCCTTCCTCCTCCGTTTGGGTTCGGTGTGCGAGGGGAAGGAGGTAGATAAGAAGGTGAGGAAGAAGAGAAGGAATACGTATATGAATAACATGAAAAGGAAGGGACACATCGTGCATGTCGCATTGTTTTTCTCCTACCTATCCGCCTCCATTCTTCACCTCCTTCTCCTAAGAGGCTCCCAGTGAGGCCCTCAGACCGTCCAAGATGGCCGCCAAGACGGCCAAAGAGGCCCATGATGGCCTCCAAGAAGGTCCCAATGGGCCTCCGAGACGTCCAAGATGTCCCCAAGAAGATATCCCAATGTTTCTCCAGGACGGGCCCACGATGTCGCGGGTAAGTCGCAGATACGTCGCGGGGTGGGTCGCGGGTGGGTCGCGGGTGGGTCGCGGTGTGGGTCGCGGGTGGGTCGCGGGTGGGTCGCGGGCGGGTCGTGGGGTGGGTCGCAGGTGGTTCGCGGGCCAGGTCGCGGGGGGGACGACGCCAAACAACAACAAGCAACCAAACAAATAAGCATACACAACAACAGCAACAACACCAACAACAACGATACGTTTACCTTCATGCGCGATGTTTCCACACGAAGCATTCGACCACCATGATAGCCATCCCCACCATGGGGGATTATTGTTCTATAGCGGGGTCGGTTATTCCCATTCCCAGATCTCCCGCCCAATGAGGTATTGCAAACACCTCCTCCGAGGAATTAATTTATCCCAGTGCGACCCTACCTAGGAGTTGGAGCATTTAGGAACGCAACATCTACATCTACACCGTCAGCTACATGTACATCTACACCTGCATCTGCATCTACATCAACATCAACAGCGAGACTCACATCTACATCTACATCTACACCTACATCTACACCTACATATACATCTACATCTACATCGACACCTACATTCACATCTACACCTACACCTACATCTACATCTACATCTACACTTTCGTATTGGTTTTGCTTTTGCTTCGCATTGCCTTTGCTTTTGCTCTTGCCTTTGCTTTCGCCTTTGCTTTTGCTTTTGCTGTTGCTTTTGCTTTGCTTTTAGTTTTTACGTTTGCTTGATTTGTTTTTGCTTTGTCGGCGCACAGGCACACACACACACGCATGTTTCCGAGCTAAGCTAAGTTAAGCTAAGCTAAGCTAAACTAAGCTAAGATGAGATAAGCTAAGTCCAGCTAAGCTAAGGTAAGCTAGGCTAGGCTAGGCTAGGCTAGGCAAAGCAAAACTAAGCTAAGCTAAGCTAAGCTAAGATGAGATGAACTAAACTAAGCTAAGCTTAGCTACGCTTAGCTAAGCTGGGTGATCCCAGGGGCGCAACTGGGGGAACCGCGGGGCGGATACTGGGGGAACCGCCCGGGGCGGTGTCCACTGCCCGGCCCCTTTAAGGTAAGAGAGTAAGAACCCTTCTAGGCAGAGCCCAGGTAGGGAACATATCCCGCCTCGAAAACGAATGCCCGCGCCTTGCTGCGCCGATACGAGACCGCCAGTGGAGCCCCAGCCAAGGGCAAAGCACAGGGAAGTATCGAGCGACAGGATTGCCTTGGTGGGGATTGGGGCTGTCGGCGGATCGGCAAGGACCTGGCCCTGAATAAAAACGGAGAAAGTCTGGAGCAGGGCCGCTGTTTTTGCTGGGAGCGGCGCCAATGCTGAAGAGAGTAGGGCGCCAGTCCAGCGCTAAACAAAACGAAGTCTCGAGCGGGAGCGCTGGTTTTGTTGGGACGGCGGTTACCGGCGGCGAGGAGGAACACCGCCTTGAGTAAGAAGGGAGGCGGTCTCGAGCGAGAGCCGTGATTTTGTCGGGACGGTGGCTGTCGGCGGCGAGGACCAGCACCGTCTTGAGGAAACAGAGAGGAAGCCTCGAGCGGGAGCGTTGCTCTTGCTGGGAGCGGCGCCAATTCAAAAGAGAGTACCAAGCGTAAAACGGGAGGAAATCTCGGGCGGGAGCGCTGGTTTTGTCGGGACGGCGGTTTTCGGCGGCGAGGAGGAGCACCACCTTGAGTAAAAAAGGGAGGAAGTCTCGAGCGGGAGCGTTGCTGTTGCTGGGGGCGGCGCCGATGAGAGAAAGAGTAGCGCGCCAGGCCAAGGTAAAGCGGGAGGAGGTCTCGAGCGGTAGCGCTGGTTGTGTTGGGACGGCGGCTTTCGGCGGCGAGCAAGAGCACCAGCCCTGAGCAAAAAAGGAGGATCTCTCGAGCGGGAGCGTTGAACTCTCATTTCTGCAGAATAATTATCGTTGATCCCCCCTCACAGGTGCATGCTGTTTTTCTCATCAAAGTAAGCCCCTCGACGCTCGCACCTTGTTTTTTTTTACAGGGAAAGTCTTGATGGTCAAACTGTGCCCCTGGCCCCCCGGATTACAACAACAACGGCTCCCGCCTGAGACTTCCTCCAAATTTACTCAGGACCCCCGCTCCGGATACTTCCTCACAATTTACTCAGGATCGGTGCTCCCGCCTGTGACTTCCTCGCAATTTAGTCAGGACCCCCGCTCCCATCGGAGACTTCTTCACAATTTACTCAGGACAGGCGCTCCCGCTTGAGACTCCCTTGCAATTGAATGAAGACTCCTCGCAATTTGATCAAGACCCCCGCTCCCGCCAGAGAGCACTCCACATGTTATTCAGGAATGGCGCTCTCGCCCGTGACGCCCGTGCAATGTATTCAGAAATCGCGCCTTCGACGCTCAGGAAACACGCTGCGCCGAGGACGCCGTCACAACTTACTTAGCAATTGCGCTCTCTCCGTACTCAGGCATCCCGCTTAACTGTCCCACCCGCCCGACCCTCCCGTCAGGGGACGTCCCGCCCGTCGTGGGCTCCCGCCCGAGATCTCCTTCGGGAGCGGCGCTTTCGCCTAGGACTTCCTCGAACGTTCACGCTCTTACCTTCCTGCTCCTCCTCCCTCTCCCTCCTCCCTCCTCCCTCCTCCCTCCCTTCTCTCTCCCTCCTCTCTTCCTTCATCCTTATGCCTCTCTGCCCTCTCCCCTCTCCCTCCTCTCCCTCCTCCCCTCTCCCTCCCCTCTCCTGGTTCCTTCCTCCCTCTTTCTTTCTTTCTCTCTCTCTCTCTCCCTTCTCCCTCTCTCTCTCTCTCTTTCTCTACCTCTCTTATCTTTCTTTCTTTCTTTCTTTATTTATTTATTTCTCTCTCTCTCTCTCTGCCTCTAACCAACCGCCCCCGTCTTCGCTCCTTCTCTCCTGGCGTTGTCCCTCTTTCTTCTTCCCTCCCCCTCCCTTCCTCCCACTCTCCCTCGTTCTCCCCCTCCTCTTTTTGCACGCCAATTCCAATGGCGGGTACATGTACGCCCACGAAGGATTGTCCGCCCGTTCAGGTTTGTCCGGCGGTCTAAGCCCGCCGCCCCCCGCAAAAAGAAAGACTCCCCCGAAGGGGGGTGTGATCGAAAACAAAAAGGACGGGCATCGAGGGTGTGGGGAATTCGTTTTGAATGACACGCGGGCAAGTAAGAGCGTGGAGTCTTATAATGATTGTTGTTGTTGTTGCTGCTGCTGTTGTTGTTGTTGTTGCTGCTGCTGCTGTCGTTGTTGTGATTGTTGTTGTTGTTGCTGCTGCTGTTGTTGTTGTTGTCGTAGTGGTTGTCGTTGCTGTTGTTGTTGTTGTTGTTGTTGCCGCTGCCGCTGCTGCTGCTGTTGCTGTTGTTGTTGTTGTTGTTGTTGTTGTTGTTGTTGCTTCGGGGGCGGTCTTGGCGCCCCCCTAAACCGCTCGAGCGTGAGCTTCGTTTTCAATGAAAATGTAGCCGGCGCCGAGGCGAGAGCGTCAAATTGCCTGTGGGTCCAATAGTGATAATCACTATTGGGTAATTAACGTTCGACAGCAACAACACCAACAGCAACAACAACACCAACAACAACAACACTAATAACCCGCATGGCTGAATCCCACTTCAGCCGCGCACCCAGGCACAGTAAATGACCGCTCGGCCCCCCCATTCCGATCAGTAGCATGACGAACATCTTCTGCAGCGCGCGTCTCAAAACGCTGCAGGATCTGTGCGCCTTGGCGGCTGCTCCTTTGCAGGCGCTCGGTGGTCCGCAAGATTGCCCCCTGGGCCACGGTCCCCACTGGCGGCCGTTCCTGGCTGCAGCCCACTGCCGGCAACGGCTCGAGCCATGAGCATGTGCACAGGTCGCAGTGAATCTGGCCTGACATGAGATGCGGAAGGGAGTTAGAGCGACCCAGGAGCCACGGCGCCCTGCGCTGAAACCGCGTGGCCTCACAGGTCGAGACGGAGCGGCCCTCGGCGAAGAGGCTGCCATCCCACCGTGGCCATAATGCTCAGCAGGACTCGGAGAGATGCCGACAACATTGACGCGGACCTTCGGCGCTTCGAGTCGACGCGGGGCACGCCCTTGCCAGGCTATGATATGGTTCGCTATGCACTGCAATGCGATGATCTGCCATGGCACGCAATGTTGTTTTCATCCCACCACATGTTGACCCTTCGCCCATCCCCCCATCCGCCCCTTCAGCTACAACCTTAAGCTGCGGCATGCGACCAGCGCTGGGCGATGCCATTCCTAGCCAGTCCATTCAAGTCCAATAACGCAACACTGGAGGTCCTATGTTCAACCATGCGCTAAGCAGAACACGCAACCCCATCAAGTCCCATCAAGTCCAACCAAGCGATACTCGAGGCCTGATCAAGCGGGTGCTAAGCGACAACGACAGTCAAATCGAGCCCAGTCCATCGACGATACAGTTTCAATCAAGGCCAAGCCAGTTCACTCACGTTCATGCAAAGAAGTGTTACACATATCACACATTTCAAGCAAGTCCAGTCGAGCAACCATAGAGGTCCAATGTCCAACCACGGAGAAATAACATTTGAGGCGTATAGGCCCAATCAGTAGTCAAACTATCCAATGCCCAATCAAGCAGGACACAACAGATGAGTGCAGGCAGGTCGAAGCAAGCCGACAACACTTGCACACAGTCCGCTGTGGACGACTGTGGATTATAGGGGTTGTAGGGTTTAGAGGGCTCGTAGAGGCTGATAGGATTATGAGGGCTTATACCCTGTCTGCATTATAAGGGCGTAGAAAGCTTGTATGGCTTATAGGGCCGGCAGGGCTATAACGACAAACCAGCTCGTCCTTGATGTTCCTATAGGGCTATGCTGCGAGCATGTGTAGAGGCAATCATCTAATGGGCACACTTTTGTTCCAAGCCCCAGGGCCCCGATCAGCTTGTATGGGGCTTGCTCATCTACTAATTTATCCTTGCTGCATCTAGACGGCGTAAAACGTCTCATCGGGCTTATCTAGTTTCTATGGCCTGTAGGGCTTGTAGGGCTCACAGGGCTGATAGGGTTTATTGGGCTTCTAGGGCTTCTAGGGCTGATTGGGCTGACATGGCTGACAGGGCTGATGGGCTACGTGGGCTCATAAGGCTTACAGGGCTTAAATGAAGGGTGTAGGGGGAGGGGGTGGAGGTGGTCTCCCCCTCCCCCTCCTTGTGCTGCTGCTGTTGCTCATCCTCCTCACCACCCACCAAACCACCCCAACCCAACCCGAAGGCTCAGATTTACCCTCGATTTCTAGTGGGGGGGGGTCGGGGAACATCGAAAAAACACATATGGAGCCCATACCCCCCCAACCCGAAATTCGGGTCTTCGGGTTGGGTTGGGGTGGTCTGGTAGGTAGTCACCTCCCCCCTCTTCCTCCTCCTCCTCCTCCTCCTCCTCCTCCTCCTCCTCCTCCTCCCCAGACGCTCCAACCTCCTCCTCCTCCTCCTCCTCCTCCTCCTCCTCCTCTTCCTCCTCCTCCTCCTCCTCCCCTTCTTTCTCCTAGGCACCACAGACTGCCACATGGCTGACTCGAGCACCGCAAGCTACGCTGGAGTCGCTAGCGCGCGAGGAGTCGGAACAGACATCTCCTCGCATCCCGAGCCGTGTCCTGATGGTCCCCCGAGTGGCCCCCCGAGGCCCCGCGAGGGCCCCCGGAGCCCGAAGCTGGGCAGGTGCCGTCCGAGGTGCTTTTCTCATGACCCGATGGGGGTCTGGGCGGTGCGCCCGAGAAGATGCCGTCTCTTCCGCCGTGCACGGACTGTGCTGTCGCTCCCCCCTGGCCTCGGGCAGGGCCGGGCTGGGTCGGGCACGCGCGGCCTGGCCGGGGGGCGCGGCGGGGGGGGGGCGGGGGGGGCCTCCGACGACACGGCCCGAGAGCGCAGCGCCTCGGGCCGCCTCGGGAGGGGGGCACCGTTGCGCCCCAAGGGCTAGCGAGCTCCCCTTGCCCAGGAGCCGGCCGCGCCCGCGCCGGCCCCGCCGCCCCGAGGGGCCGCGGGGGCCGCGCCAGCCGCGCCCGCTGCGCGCACTCGCCTCAACAGCAAGGCGAGGGCCCGCGCTCCCACGGCGGGGCCGGGGAGGGGGGAGGGAGGGGAGGAGGGAGAGAGGGAGGTGGAGGGAAGGCGGAGGAGGAGGAGGAGGAGGAGGAGGAGGAGGAGGAGGGGAGGGGGAGGAGAGTTGCCCGTTGCTGGATCAGTTGCGCCCAGTGTCTTGCCCACGGAGGAGGGTGGGAAGGAAGAGGGGGAGGAGGAGGAGGAGTTGTGGAGGGGAGGGGGACGAGGAGTAGGAGGAGGAGGAGGAGGGAGGAGGAGGGGGAGGAGAGTTGCCCGTTGCTGGATCAGTTGCGCCCAGTGTCTTGCCCAAGGAGGAGGGGGGGGAGGAAGAGGGGAGGAGGAGGATGGAGTTTGTGGGGGGGAGGGGGACGAGGAGTGGGAAGAGGAGGAGGAGGAGGAGGAGGAGGAGGAGGAGGAGGAGGAGGAGGAGGAGGAGGAGGAGGAGGAGGAGGAGGAGGAGGAGGAGTGAGGAGGAAGAGGACGAGGACGAGGACAAGGACCAGGGCAAACCGAAGACGCACCAGCGATGTTACAATGAACCCTCCGTCCGTACAATAATGCGGCTTCATTGCGGGGGGTGGCCCATTGGAAGTCAAGTGTTTGAGAAACCGTAATCGTGCCCAAACACATTTCCTCGGACTTCAGCGCCGCGAATCAAGATGAATGTTGCGCCCTGACAATCCAGAACCGTGCAAGAGCACCGTTTCTGGGACTTCATCACCGCGAATCATCGTTGCTTGTTACGTCTTGACCATCTCTGCGCCATACCACCGTTCCCGGGCTTTCAATCATACGAATAGTTGAAGCAGTTGTAAAGTTTAAATCCCATGTGTGCTGCGCTAGGGCGAGAGAAATGATTCAGAAGGACCTGGCCTCCATCATTGAAGCTGTTCTTAATTTCCTATTCGAATGTGCGCAGCACTAGGGCGATAACCTCATTATGAAAATCATTCGCGCTCCATCTGTGAAATGGATGCAAACTTTGAAGACAGACGTGCGTGGCGCTAAGACGATAGTCGCATTTTGCAAACCACCCGCCCTCCATCTTGAACACGCTTCAAACTTTTACGACGGATGTGCGCTGCGCTATGGCGAGAACTACATGTTGAAGGCCGCCCGCACACAATCCGTGAAATGGTTGCAAAGTTTGAGGACGGATGTGCGCGTCGTTAAGGCAAGAGCCACATTTTGAAAACCACCCGCCCTCCATCCGTGAGGTTGTTGCAAGGTTCAAGCTTCAGCATCATTGATGGAGGGGACGTCTCAGGAGACACTCCAGGCCCGCCCTAATATCACGTCTTGAGTGCGACAGGGAGGAGTAACGCATAGAGAAAGGGATGGAGGAGGACGAGGAGAAGAAGGAGGAGGACCAGTGTAAACCGAAAGTGCATCCGCGATGTTGCAATCAACCCTCCTTCCAAGTTCCCCCGCGCGGGAAGAGACCCATTGGAGAACAACCGTTTGAGAATCTTCAACCGTGTCCAAATACACTTCCTGGGACTTGAGCGCCGTGAGTCAACGTGATTGTTGCGCCCTGACAGTCCTAAGCAGTGCCAGCATACAACTCCTGGTATGTCAACGTCGCGAAACAACATGACTGTTCACACGCACGCAAGAAGCCGCGCCTAGACGGTGCATCGGCAGAACACTGAATAGCATAGAAGGCCTACCACATTCTTGCAGAAAACGGGCTCATGTTGAGTGCAAGCACGCCGGAACGCAGCCACTGCAGATTGCAGTAGTGGGCGGCGGTAGGAATTCTGCTAACACGATTCATGCAAGAAGAAGGGAGGAGGGAAGGAAGGGGAAGAGGAGAGGAAGAAGGAGGCGAGGCATGGGCACCGTCACAACCTCTCATAAAATTGCGCGACTGCAGCGTTGCATTCCGCAGCCGACGTCTGCAGCAGCAACTTTGAATCTTCTGGGCGATGGTGCGCTGCGTTCAAGGCGCGTGCACGCATGTAACTTCCCCACTGGGGTCTTAGGCGTCCTCGCCTGCGAAGAATATCTCACCTCTGGGGTAAAACGGCCATGCGATTGTCCCTCACGTAACACTATCCTTCATGGCAATCCTGGCATCGTGACCGTTCGGTTTTGGCAATCCTAAACCGTACCAGATCACCATTCCCGGGGCTTTTACCATGCGAATCTTTGAAACTGCTCGAAGCGTTGAAGACGAGTGTGCGCGGCGATATGGCGATGCTTGCATTTTGAAAATGGGCCGTCCTCCATCCTTGGAGCCGTTGCATCACTCTTGTTGAAACACAGATGTGCGCGACGCCATGGCGAGAACCACATTTTGAAGACGACTTGCCCTTCACCCTTTAAGCTGTTGCACATTTGCAGGACGATTATGCGCAGTGCTAAAGCGCGGCGCATACCCGTCTCCAGATTGACCCGCCCTCCATCCTTTTGAAGCTGCCGCAAACTTCGAGGACGAATGTGCACGGCGCTAAGACGAGGTCCGCATTCGGAAAACCATTCGCTGTCCATCCTTGCATTTCTTGCAAACTTTACAACTTTGTGGGCCCACGTTCGGACCACATCTGCACCCGCACAGCGCCAGTGCGTACAGTCGCCACCAGGCTCCCACCTCTTCCCCCCCGAGGTACCGCATGCACGGTCATCTTCTCCGTTTTTCTTTCTTCACCTTTTGGCATTTGCTTCGCTCTCCTCCCAGCGCTGCTGGGTGGGAGGACCTTAGGGGTTCGACTGCTTCGGCGACACAGTCCGCAGTCCTGAGTCCTGAGGAGGAGGAGGCGGAAGGGGAGGAGGGGGAGGGCGGGGGTTGTGGAGGAGGAGGACGCAGTGGATGAGCGGCAGCAGAGCGCGGCGGGCATTGGCCGCCGCGAGGCCTGCGCCTACATACCCGGCGCGGCGGGCCCTGGCTGTCAGGGCGTCGGCGGTCGCAATGGCTTGGGCGAAGGACGCCAGCAGCGTCGTCCTCGTTGTCCTCGTCGTCGTCGTCGTCGTTGCCTTCTCCTCCCCTCCCCCAGTCTGTCTTCCCCTTCCCCGTTCCCCCCCTTTCTCTGCATTCCGCTTCCCCTCCTTTCGCATTCGCCTTCCTTCTCGTTCTCCCCTGCCTCTTCGCGCCTTTTTCTCTCGCGTTCCACTTCACGTTGCCCTTCCGTCTCCCCCCCTCCTGTTCCGTCTCTGGTCCCCCGTCTCCGCTCCCAGCCCCTCCCAGTTGCTTCCTCCATCTGGCCTCCCTCCTCCCCCCTCACCTCCCCCTCCTCTTCTCTCTGCCTCTCCGTCTCTTCCTCCCCTCTCTCTCCTCCTCCGTCCCCCCCTCCTATTTCTCTCTTTCCCCTCGCCTCCCCCATTTCCTCTTCCCTCCCCCCTGTCCTTTCCCCCTCTTCACCCATCCCGTCTTCCTCTCCCCGATCTGACATCTCCTGTTGGCACCTGACTCAGATCGTGTAACATTTGTCAGACAAATCGAAGCATACGTTGTCCTACATAGTGGGGGTACTTCAGCAGGCACGGTAGCAGCAGTTCTGTCAGCGTGGTTCGGCGCTTGTGCTCAAGGCTAGCATCAAACATTCGAGTCACTCCCCCCTGCCCGCCATCCTCTCCCCCCCTTAAGGGCCCTGCCGTCTCGTTCTCCCCTCCCTTCTCTTCCTCCCCTCCCCTCTCTTCCTCCCTTCCCCTCCCCTCCCCTCCCCCCCTCTCGCCCCCCCCCTCCCTCCCCCCTCCCCCTCCACTCCTCCACTCCTGCCCTCCCCCCCTTCCCCGCAGGCGTCAAGCCCCGGCTGGAGCCTCCCGCCGTGGCGGCGCCGGCAGTGGACGAGCGGACTACGGTGATGATGTGCCGGGTGCTGCTCGTAGCGGGGATCCTGTCGCGGCCGCGGATCGGCACTGGGGGAGGGTGGGGGCGGGAATGGGATGGGGATCGCTGACGTAGTCGTTCCAGGCCTCTCAGCTGGGGTCCGAGTAGACTGGGTCGGGGGATCGCGGCGCATCGCCGATGCATCGACGATGTGGCTCGATGTGGAGTCACATTTTCTCTACGCCAATGGCGCCGATGCATCGCACACGTCGCCGATGCATCTCCGATGCATCGCCGATGCATGGGCGATGCACTCGCGATTCGGCGCGATCCTCCAACCCCGTCTACTCGGGCCCCATCTAGGAGGCTTCTGGAACTCATGCCGAGGGAAACACTGCAACACCTTGGACTTCAAACCACGGTTAAAACGGTCCAGGAGTTCATGACGTTTCTTGGGCATGTGGGAGGGATCATAGGGCCTTCCCGGCAACACAAAGAGGAGTCGACCAAGAAACAACTGCATAAACGTAAATGTTCGGAGCTCCACTCGAATGTCTTGGATCTGCGCTGGGCCCCCCTGGCGGCGCACCCGGCGCCGCCCCTGGCGCGCGCTTCGCGCCGGGGACGGGGGTCCAGTGCCGATCCAAGAAATCCGCGCGGGCCTCGGACAGTTTCGGTCTATGCCGATGCTATGTTTAAGGGATGAAGGGACCGGGATGAGGGTATGAGAGGACCGTCAGAAACTCACAGTGTTTGGCTTGGTTAATGTATCGGACAGTGTCGGGGTATCGGGCCGTTCAGCTGGAGCTCGATCAAGTGAGCGCTCCGCTCCATCGGAATGGATAGGGTCGGTGGGATTCGCTTCGGGGTAGTGCCTTGGATCGGCTTGGGTCAGGGGTGCTTCCGAGGTGCCGCTCTTCTACACGCGCGACATGTTGCTCGATTTGTTCGAGGCCAAGGGTTTGTTCGACCACGTCGATTTTATTTACGTGCCGATCAAGTTCAAGACTGGCCTTGGCTTTGGCTATTGCTTCGTGAATCTTACCACGCACGAGCAGGCGAGGACGTTCATCCGTACTTTCGACGGGTTCGACGACTGGGAGTCCTCATTCTCCACGAAGGCGTGCCACGTGCGCTGGAGCGATAATCAGGGCTACTGGCCGAATGTCTTTCGGTTTCAGAATAGCTCTCTGATGGGCGAGGACGTGCCAGACTTCTACAAGCCTGCGCTCTTCAGTCGTTGTGTTCGGGTCCCATTCCCCGGGCCCACTAAGAGCGTGCGCAAGATGAGGGCCAAGAAGCTGTCCGCAGATGCGACTGTTGAGTGGTGATGGTTGCTGGGGCTTCGCATGGCATTATGCGGAAGTGCTGCAACCCAGCGTCAGTGGTTTCCATTGGCGGAGTACCGAGGGGGAGGTGAGACGCTGACGGCCCTCCCAGAGGGCTCAGGAGGCCTCTGGCCTTCCGAGAAGCTTTCTGAGCCATCTCCGAAACCACAGGGCTTTTAAGAAACCCTCCTGCCCCCGCCCCCTCTGAGAAGGCCTGCCCCCTCTCACTTCCCCCCTCGACGCGCCGCCGATGTCAATGCAGCACGTGCCTTCGGACGCCACGTGCTTCAGTCGCGGGCAGGCGTGACACACCCTGTCCCTGGGGCCGCCTGAGCGCTGATGCATTTGAATTTGATCTGCCGCGGCGCCGTTGTGTGCCCTGCTCGAGGCGGCCGATATTTGCGTGCTGCCGTCATGTTTCGGGGAAGCGTAAGACTCGAGTACGCCAGAACTCGGGTTTACCGACGCTTCTTGACGAGCGCGTTCTGGATTTTGACGGTTCAGTTTTCGCGGTATGTTTGCAGCGGGAGTTCGCGTCAAATTGCTTGCAGTGGGGGCTCGCGCCAAATTTCAGATTGTGCCGCGTCATTTTCATGATGGCCCCGTCGGGCTAACCCGAGCCCCCCCCCCCCCCCCCAACCCGAGTCTTACGCCTGCCCGAATGGTCCGCAAGCGCTGCAGACTTTTTTGTCCCCCTCCTCGTGGGATGATTCTCGTTCGCGACCCTGGGTGCGAGCACAAACGAACGCCTCCCGCCGAGGTGCGGCACCGTGGGCTGTCTCTTGGAGCGCCGTGCGGGCCGCAGGGGAGCAGGAGGGAAGCGAGGAGGGCGGAGCAGGCCTTGCGCGGGCGAGGAGGACTGGGCCTGGGACTATGGCCTGCCTCCGAGGAGGCAGGTCCAACGCGTGCGAGGAGGAGGAGGAGGATGAGGAAGAGGAGGAGGAGGAATTCGGAAGCCGGGCACGGGCTGCTGAATCCGTGGCTGCTACAATCGACCTCCAGGAAGTTGTCTTCGTCCTTCCGGGAAGAAGCCCGTTGACTGTTTCGCGTGCCGCGCCTCATTCCGGGAAGTTGTTGTTTCCTTCCAGGAGGGCCGTTTTAGCAGCCACGGTCTTAGCAGCCCTCGCCCAGCTTTCGAGAGGAGGAGGAGGAGGAGGGTGACGAGGAGTAGGAGGAAGATGAGCAGCTAGAGGCGGAGGAAGAGCAGGAGAGAAACGATCGAGGGCCAGATCGCCATGATCCCACTTCTCAACAGCGCGCTCCCTCCGCGTGCAGCCGCGGTTCTTTGCTCATTACGCTTGATGGCAGGTCGGCCATCGAATGTTGTAATTTTGCATTTTGAGCCGATGATCATGTGCTGCCGCACCACCGCTGGTGTTTTGACCCTGTGGTGCCGCATGCGCAGTCGGTTTGCCGACCGTTTTGATCACCTGTGTAGGGTGTTTGTGGCAGCCCGTGCGCACCATCGATGGCGACCTGCTGCCTTTCGGCGCCAGAGCTGGCAGCGGAGGCCACGACCATCATCGTCGCCTCGGCCACGCCCTTGAGTCAATGAAGGGGTATCAGGGAGGCAAGGGGGGAGGGAGGGGAATAAGGATGAGGAGGAGGTTGCTGAAACGGGAGGGGGAGGAAAGGCAGGAGGAAGAGGGAGGAGGGTGACAAGGGATCTGTCGATCGGGGCGGCCCGATCGGGAGTGTGGCCCCGATCCCAAGGGGTCGAGCAGGAGGGTGATGAGGCGTGCGGGTACGGAAGGAGGCGGAGATGTTTGGCCTTCCCTCAGTCACCTATGCGTTGGTGGCCACACGTAGAGGAGGAGGAGGAGGAGGAGGAGGAGGAGGAGGAGGAGGAGGAGGAGGAGGAGGAGGAGGAGGAGGAGGAGGAGGAGGAGGAGGAGGAGTGTCAGTGTAGACCCACGACGCATCCCCGATGTTGCACTCAACCCTCCCCACGTTCCCTCTTCATAGGATCCTACATGTAACATGTTTTTGTTGTGGGAAGTGCTCCTTGGAAGAGACCGCTTGAGAATCCCCAATCGCGCCAACATGCCATTATTGGGAATCCAACGTCGAGAATTAATTAACGAAACCGTTGCGTCCTGGCAAACCCGCGTCATGGCAGAACACCGTTCCTGGGAGTAGAACGCTTCGAACCAACTTGATCGTTGCGTCCTGACAATCCCGAATCGTGTCAAAACACTTGCTCTTCTGAGGTTTCAACACTGCGAATCAACGCCACTGTTCTTACATCGCGCTAGAACACCAGTCGTGGGATTTCGACCATGCGAGCCCTTACCAGATGTACACTGCCTTGACACGAAGGTGCTCGGCGGTAAGGCGAGAGTCACATTAAAAAACGGTTCCACCCTCCATCCGTGAAGTTGCGGCAAGCTTTTAAGACGAAAGTGTGCGGCGCTAAACAGAGTGATACATTCTGAAAACCAATCACACCCCATCATTGAACTTTGTGCGTTGCAAGCTTTTAACACGAATGTGCTCGGCGGCAAGGTGAGGGCCACAGATCAAAAAGGACCCACACTGCATCTGTGAAGCTGCTGCGAGCTTTCATGACGAATGCACGCGGCGCTTGAGCGATATACGCAACATGTAAACCGCCCGCTGCAAGTTCTTTTACCACGAATGTGCTCGGCGCTTAGGCGAGGGTAACATGTTGAAACATACCCGCCCTCCACCCGTGAAGCTGTTGCGCATGTCAATTTTCAGGATCACAGATGGCGAGGAAGATTCAGGCGAAACGCCCGGCCCGCCCTACGGACACGGTTGGGGTCGCGACAGGGAAGAGACACAGTCCGCAGCTCTGAAGGCTCTGAAGGAAGAGGAGGAGGACGAGGAGGAAGAGGAAGAGGAAGAGGAGGATGATGATGATGATGATGATGAGGAGGAGGAGGAGGAGGAGGAGGAGGAGGAGTTGAAGGAGGAGGAGTTGGAGGAGGAAGGGAAGGAGGAGAAGGAGGAGGAAAAGGAGAAGGAGGAGGAGGAGGAGGAAGAGGAGGAGTTTGAGGAGGAGGGGAAGGAGGATGAGAGGAATGAGGAGGAGGAGGAGGAGGACGAGGAGGAGGAGGAGAAGGAGGAGGAGGAGGAGGAGGAGGCGGGGGTTCATCAGCCCTCACTCCTTTTCGCCCTCCTCCTCTTCCTCTTCCTCCCCCTCCCTCCTCCATTCTCCGTCCTCCCTCTCTCTCCTCTCTCCTCCCTCTCTCCCTCCTCCCTCCTCTTCCTCCCTCTTCCTCCTCCTCCCTCCTCCTCCTCCTCCTCCTCCTCCTCCTCCTCCTCCTCCACCACCCCATCACCTGAGGGCCGGTCCCCGTCCGCCGCCTCGCTGGGCCCCCCCCCCGCCAGAAGCTGTGGCCGCTGGCGTGTGCGCTGGCGCCGGCCGCCCCCGCGCACGGCCGCCCGGGGCCCGTGAGGGCGCCTCAGGGGTAAGAGCGGGAGGAGGATCGAGGTAAGGAGCAAGAGGAGGAGGAGGAGGGGGAGGGGGGCGGGGATGACGAGGAGGAAGAGGAGGACGAGGAGGAAGAGGAGGAAGAGGAGGAGGAGGAGGCGGAGCAGGAGGAGGGGAGGAGGAGAAAGAGAGGAGGAGGCGGAGGAGGAGGAAGAGGAGCCGGAGGAGGACGAGGAGGAGGAGGAGGGAGGAGGAGGAGGAGGAGGAGAGGAGCAGGAGGAGGAGGAGGAGCAGGAGGAGGAGAGTTGGAGGAGGCGGAGGAGGAGGGACGAGGGAGGAGGAGGAGGAGGAGGAGCAGGAGGAGGAGGGCGGCGGCGGCGGAGGAGGAGGAGAGGAGGAGGAGGAGGAGGAAGAAGAGGAGGAGGAGGAGGAGGAGGAGGAGGAGGAGGAGAGAGTATGAGGAGCAGGAGGAGGAGGAGGAGGAGGAGGAGGAGGAGGAGGAGGAGGAGGAGGAGGAGGAGGAGGAAGAGGAGGAGGAGGCGGCAGAGCAGGCGGAGAAGCAGGAGGAGGGGAAGAGCGAGGAGGCGGCGGGGAAACGTTGCGGGGGGGAGGACTCATAGAGGGCCGCCGCTGGCCGCCGCTGTCGAGGTTCGAACGTCGAGTGAGGGCAACGTTACAGTCGGCCCGAGGTATAACATCGAGGTCGTATCGGGAAGGGTAGCCTAGTCTTCTTCGTGTTTGTCGGATGTTCTTGTGCATCCTGGGGAGGGTACCCGATGTTCTGTTTGTTTTGGCCGGCGGAGAGTCTCATGTTCTTACAAGGACGTTCTTCTGTCCTGGGTCCGACTGTACGTGCAGTCAAGGCTCTGAAGCAAGGGCCGCTTTGGGCTCGGGAGCGGCTCTGGTTTGCAGGCCGTTCCCTGGGCTCAGGGCGAGGAGCTTGTCCGTGGCCGGGGCTCGCCGGGTCCAAAGACTCCCATTTTCCTTCTCGTAGCGCGATGACGAGGAGGAGGAGGAGGAGGAGGAGGAGAGGAGGAGGAGGAGGAGGAGGAGGAGGAGGAAGAGGAGGAGGAGGAGGAGGCGGAGGAGGAGGAGGTGCAAGCTCAAGCGCCACCGTCACCCGATGCCCAACCCCCCTCCCTCCTGGGGGTAATGTCCGTTTCCAGACATAACTCATTTGAGGTTCAATAGGCCAGGCCATTCCCGCTTTCGGCGGGAGCCCCCTTCGGAGACGGTGAAGCTACACTTTTCCCGAGGGAGCTCGCTGACGCGGGCAACCTTCGGTGGTGACTACATCGGGTGAGGCATGGTCTTCCTCCCCCCAGGGGTGATGTGACCAGATCGGGCACAAGCCTAACACCCTACTAGGCCGTTCCGCATGAATTATGGAGTGCGCATGCTGGACGACCTTGTATCCCGCCCGCAGCATCCAAGTACAAATTCGGGGGGGGGGGGTGCGGGGGTGGTGACTTTCACACATCGCCAGCGCAAGCTGTTCATTTCAGCCATACCTGGATTGAAGTCGGCTTGGCAACTGGCGGCGCCTATCACAAGGCTACGGGCTACAGATGAGACGGTTCCTTGAGCGGCCAGAACCGGCCTCCAGCTCCCCCGCCCTCGCGAATCCGGCTGGCAGTCAGGCGCGACGATCGCACCGCGAGCTTGCGAGGACAGCGCGTGCCCTCAGACCGCTGCAGACGGTGATCCGCGGCCCCTGGGAGCGGCGCGCCGGTGGTCTTCCCCCCCTGCCGAGGCGAGCCGCGCCGCCGGCTGCCGCCGCAGGGCGGTGCGCACCTCGCTGCCTGCTCTCCCCCCCTCTCCTTGGCATCGCTCGGGCGTGTGCATGTTTCCTTCGGCGGGGACCATCGAGGAGCATCCTTGATCTTTTGGCGAAAAAGCCACGCACGCAACCGAAAAAAGCACAGGGAATGGACGTCCGAGCGATGGCGAGCTCTCCTCCCCGCTCCGTCTCTCTGACGCGCCCTGGACCGCCCAGTGCCCCGCGGCGGTCGGGAAGCAGCAGTCGGCATGATCCATAAGCTCCGGAGCTCCGCTCGGGTTTCTCGGATCGGCGCTGGGCCCCCTGGCGGCTCTGGAGGCGCCGCCCCTCGCGCGCTCGGCGGCGCGCCAGGAAGAGGGGATCCGGCGCAGATCCCAAGAAGTCCGCGCGGACCTTCGCAAGTGTATGGTTCTGCAGTTCTATTTCGTCTGTGCATGGAGTAGGCGATCGACTACAGAGTTCATTTGCCCCAAAACTGATTTGTTGTCGGGGTCCGCAAGAAGACATCGAAGCTGAACACATCTGCGAAGAATATGCGTACATTCTGCAGATCCGACGACAAGCCCAATTTTGGGGTAGGTTGATTCTGCATTCGATCCCCTACCCGTCCATGGAGGGCGCCTCCTCTCGCTTCCCGGGGTGCGGGCGGGCAGGGCCGCGCGCCCCGTCCTCGCCCTGGACTCTGGGGAGGGCGGAAAGAGCCACCCCCGGCCTGCTGCTGGTCGTCCTAAGCACTTGCCGTCGTCCTCCTCGTCGTCGTCGTCGTCGTCGTCGTCGTCGTCGTCGTCGTCCTACTCGTCGTCCTCGTCGTCGTCGTCGGACGGGGGGCGCCCAGGAGCCTCCGTCGCCAGCCTCGTGGCCGAGGTCCGGCGCAGCGGGGCCTTCCAGCGCGAGGCGCCGGTGCGGGCCGGGCCATCGGCGGGGTGGAGGGGAGGCTTCTCGATGGGTGCTTGCCGAGGCCCCCGGATTCGTTCCCAGGCCTCCTCCATGGGGTCCGAGCAGCTGGGGTCGGAGGATCGCGCCGCATCGCCGATGCGTCGGCGATGCGGCGCGATGTGTAGCCCGATTTTCTCTACGCCAACGTCGCCGATGCGTCGACGACGTCGCCGATAGTAAGATCGAAATGGGTACGGAAATGAGAGGGACGAAGACCGACAGCAGTTTTGCCAGTTTGAAATTGGGTTCGGTGCATTTGTTCCGTCCTATTCCGGGTGTGCCCGGGTGTGCCAGATGTCCGTGGAGCATGGCGGGCGGGCTTCCCCTGCGTCGGCGGGTGGCCGAGGCGCGCCGCACAGGAAGGCCCTCGGGCCAGAACCCCCCAGGCCATGAAACCATCACGACGTGCGGCTTTTCACCGTCCGAAAGCGACTCGGGATGGAACACTGGCCCCGAGGAAAGGGTTGGACTCGGGGCTCAAGAGACGGGGGTCAATTCAAACCTGGTCAGTCAGAGCTCCAGATCTTGCAGGACCCTGCAGGACCAGGGGTGCACTGGCCTGGAATTGGGTGCAGGACCCCGCAGGATCCTGCAGGATCCTGCAGGATCCTGCAAGGCCTGACTGGCCCGGGTTTGGACTGACCCAGGTCAGAAGATCCCCTAGGGACTTCCGGGGACCCCGTGTTGAAAAAAATCGAGACATCGCATGTTTGGGGCTTTGCAGCGGTGCGGCCGGTCTCTCTATTTTCACCCGCGGGAGGCCGAGAAACCTGCCGCCCATAGCAATGCCCTCAGTATTGACCATGGAGCCGCCTGGGTGAGAGGCTGGTGGCAAGGACGTGTTCCTCCCCTCCCCACGCTCCAGAGGGGGAGAGGAAAGAGGAGGGGGAGGAGGACGAGGCCGTTCGGGCCGGAGGTTTTGGCCCCTGGCATGTGAGGGTCCCATTGAGATGTGTTGGGACGTCGCGTGGCCCTGGTGATTGCGCAGGACAGGCTACAGCGTGCAAGGAATTGTTGGACGGTGTCGTAGCGCGGCTGGCTGGAGTGCAGACGCGGCTTGGTTCTTTGTCTAGGCGTCGTCGCCTTGCTCCGTCTGGGGGGGCGCGTGCGGACTGGTGGGTCGTGCGGTGTTGCCTGAGCTATGTGGGGTCATCTCGCGCTCGTGCAAATTATGTTCGGGAGGGCCGCCGTTGGAAGTCCGCTGGCGTATCGCTCCTTCGTTTCTGTCCGAAGGCCCGAGGTCGCTTTGACAGCAGCTGGCGCCTCTCACTGAACAAACCGGCCTCCCCACGGACTGGGCACGGGGAGGCGGGCCTGGCCCCCCGGACCTGGCAGAAGCCAGCGACCAAGCCGCTCATCCCGACCATCGTGTGCGCTGCGGTCTGCGGAGACCTGCGCTGATGGGGATCCCCGCGATGGTGTGTCACCGATGCTGCTTCTGCTCCCCCCTCCTGTGGCCTCGCGGAGACTGGCCGGACACCTTGAAGTGCGCGTTGTTCATCTCGAATTCTTCGAAAGCTCTTTGATTTTTGTCGGGGGCCAGGATCCCTTCATTTCTGCTTGTTCTGCCCTGGGCCTCTTCCTGGCCACTGGGGGGCCAGGAACAGCCCGAAACGAGCACAGCCAGAAACGAGCACGATCGGAAGTGAGCGACGTGTGCGCCGGCCAGCCGGTGCCTGAGGCCGCCTTGCACTCTTCTCGTGCCGGAGACTCGGCGCCCGAGGCCTTCTTCCGCGCTCCTCCCTCCTCCTCCCTCCTCCTCCTCCCTCCTCCTCCTCCTCCTCCTCCTCCTCCTCCTCTCCCCTCCTCCCTCCTCCCTCCTCCTCCTCCTCCTCCTCCTCCCTCCTCCTCCTCCTCCTCCTCCTCCTCCTCCTCCTCCTCCTCCTCCCTCTCCTCCGCGGCCGCCCCCTTTTTCCCCTTGTCGCCTCTGCGTGCCCGCAGCCCCGGCGCGGCCCGCCTGGCTGCGTGAGCACGACGTGCGCTCGCCCCTCGACCCTCGAAGCTTCCTCCTCGAACCTCGAGGGCCTCCATCCTCGAACGTTGTAACTGGGAGGGAGGGAGGGAGGGAGGGAGGGAGGGAGCCTCGATCCGCGAGCCTCGATCCTCGATCCTCAAGGGGGGGGGCCTCGCGGCGCCCTGCCGCCCCCGCGAGGTGGAGGCGGCGCTGCCGGTCTTCTGCAAGGGGACCGCCCCTCCCCTCGGGGCAGCCGCGCCCGCCGTCTCTCCGTCGTCCCAGAGGGCTCCCCTGGCACGTTCCCTCGGGGGCCCCAAGCGGTATGACCACGCCGCGTCGTGAGTCAGTGGGGGTTCGGTGCCACCGCGCGAAATCTTGGGGCTGGGGTCGTTCTCCGAGGAGGTCCCGAGCAGCTGGGGCCTCCGAGGTTCCGAGGCCGTGCGGTGACGGACCGCGCGGTGAGGCCCTTGGGGATTCCGAGGTCACCACGCGGTCCGTCATCACACGGGTTTTGGGGCCCCGATTCTCGCTTGGCATTGCCCCCTCTCTGCCCCAGCCTTGGTGTTGCCCTCGCTTGACCTCACTGGAGCAGGAGGCCCGCTTTTCTCTCTTCGCGCCTCCAGCAATTATCTGCACCTGGCGGCTTTTGCGCACAGGAGCTGTCCGCGTCAAGACAGCGATCGTCATTCCCTCCTCTTCGAGGGTCGAAGATGCCACCGCCGACAGGTTGGGGGGCCCGCCTCCGGTCTGAGGGCCTTTCTTTTTCAAAGTGGAGCTCTCGCTGGACGGTGCTTGAACTTTTTGATCCCACCTCGCGCGCTCGTCCTTATAGCTGTGAGCGCGGATGACAGCTCCTTTTGCGAATGGGGCCCTCGCCTGAATTGCAGGACCATGGAGTGCTAGTCTTTCATGGGGGCACTTCCTGATTCATTAGGAGCTTCTGCAGGGTCTTGTGAGGAGGAGACCTGTGGGACTGGTGGGCGTATTGCAGCATCGGCCGATTTGTGATGTCGCGCAGTCTGAATGCAACAGCATGGACGGTTATTGCATCGGCTGCTCCTCTAATCCTCCTCCTTTTCCTCCCCCCTCCGTGGCCATTCTGGCTCAAGCTGCCTATGTCCCTCGGGCAGAGAATGAATACCTCTAGTCCGAGGCTGGAGCAGGAAGGTTTTGTGAGCTCTTGGTGGAGCGACTCCTCTGCATCCGCACCTGCATCGGCTCGTGCGGGTAAACTGAGGCATTTCCAGCTCCTGCACGGGCTAGTGCTCACTGTAGCGGCATGGCGGCGGACGGGCAGCAGCACCCGCCTCTCTCGCGCGCCGTCGTCCAGGCGCTCGAGGCTTGCCCGACCTTCCCGTCGCAGCTCTCGCAGGCCCCTGCTGGGGCTGGCAAGGGTTGCCGTCTTTCTCTTGCTGCACCTGGCAGTGCGGCTGCTCCTGGCTGGCACTTCCGCTCGCGCAAGGGGAGCATCGCGGCTGGCCCAGATGCAGACGATGCTGACGAGGACATGGGCGACTGCTCCGAGCTGTTCATCCGCCAGGCTTGCCTCGATTTCTCCGAGTCTTACAGGTCCACCATCTCTGCTGAGATCTCGGCCTGTCTCCAGGGAGACGTCTGGCAGCAACGCGAGGATCCTGGCCCTGGTCGACCAGTTCCCAAAGGAGGTGGCCGCACGTGACGAGGGAGCAATGGACCAACGCATTATGGATATTGTTTGACTTAAGGTGGGCGGTGCCCACCGTAAGCTCCAGACGCAGCTGGACGCCACGAACAAACGGATCACTGATGCTGAAATGTGACTTGACGAACATGAGGACCAGCTCGATGCGCCGCGCCCAGAGATGACCGAGCTCCGCAAGCTCCTGGCCCTCGCGGAGCAGAAGCCCTTCCCCACCCCGCTGGTGCCCAGCGGATTTGAGCGTGACATCGGCGCCGCGCACGTGGTCGCGTTCGCACAGAGGCCTACGACACTGGATGCGGTTAAATCCTCGCTCGCCCAATTGGTGGTCTCTCTTGAGTTTGCGGAGTCGGACTACGAGTTCAAGGCCCTCGGCAACCTCCCCTCTGAGATGTTCGCCGCCCCGTCGACGGGTTTAGCCGGCCCCGCGGCTCGTCGCGCCAGCAAGCTCCTGGGCTGCCTCAGGAAGACCGACTGCACCTGGCACGGGTTCACGGTGCCGGCTGGCGCTGGCCCCCCGTGCCGGTTGCACCTCGGCCCTGACAGGAGCCCCACGCGGATCCGCTTTGAGGTCACGCTGCGCCGCCCACAGTGCCCTGGGCGAGACGGGCCTGTCCTCGGATATCTTCATGGCCAGAGGGCGCGGCGCGCTGTCAGTCGGCTGGGGCCGCGTTGCCCGAGTCGAAGTATTTCCAGGCGAGTTGCCCCCAAAGATCATTTGGGAGCCGGCCAACCTCAGCAAGGTTGGCTGGCGCAAGCAGCGGCGCGCGGACGTGCGCGGCCCCCCCGCAGTCCCCGAAGCGGAGGAGACCGGGTGCCATCGGCATCTGCCGTCTCTTCCAGTCTACTCGTGCTAGGCCTGGTGCGCCTCGCCCTCTTTGTTGAGATTGGCGACGTGTCAACGTCGACTTCGTTGGAGGCTGCCCGGGCAAAAGCGAGCCTGAAGAGGGGCTGCCTTGCTCGATTCTTACCACGAACAATTTGCATTTCCTGTCGAGAAGGTCACCAGGACGAATTGCAACAATGGGGATTCTTGCAGGGCGTTGGCTCCGCCGACTCAATGTACGCCAGTTTTTGTAGTGATGACCTTGCTGGTCGGATCCGTGACCGGGTCGCAGTTTTGCGATCGCCACTAGCTCAGGAAGGAGACGCCCAAAACGAGTCGCAGAGGGCTGAGCCAGTGCCTGGTCGTGTCCTTGGCGCGGCGGTTTTCCCGTGCCGCATCTTCCCTGGTCGTCTACAATGTGCGCAGTCATGGCCTGGCGATCGTGAGTTTAAATTGGTGTGAGCTGATGTGAGTTCGTCCTTGGGACGGGCGGCTTCGGGCCCGCGGGCGCACTTTGTCATCGACGAGGGCGGCTGCCACTTCTCTGCGTCTGACTCGCTCGTCCTCCATGCCCCGACGGTGGCGGTCAAGCGGAGCTCGAGGCAGCGCTGCTCGCGGGCGCCGCAGTGGCGGGTCGCTCTGGCGCGCGTGCTCGAGCTGGATGGAGCCGGGGCCAGCGCGCTACGTGCGCGACCGGAACTCCGAGGCGGTGATCGACAAAGCCTTCTGCTCCTTCTGGGGTTGGCTGGCTCGCCAGCGCCTCGTCCTCTCGTCGATCGCGGAGTCGGCGGCGTCTGTCGCTGGCGGAAAAATATCGAATCGCAGTGTTTTGTCCGAGCAGAAGTTTTGCTTGTTTCGCCGTCCTGCGTCCGAGCGATCGCCGCAGAAGCACGCGTGAACGGGGCCTTTCTTCCAGGGGCGCTTGCAGGAGCTAGTGGGATGCGCAGATTGGCCACCTATGTCGCTTCCTGTTCGATGTGAGCAGTGTAAGTGGTTCTTGAAAGAGGCTGGCCACGTGACTCGGAGCGCCTTGTTCAAGACTGGGCCTGGGCACTCTCGCACCCTCGTGATGCTGGCACGGCCCCTGGCGCGTGCGGTCTGGGGGAATGATCGGGCCTTTGCCGCGCGCCCCCTCGCATCTCACCCCGCCGCTGCTGATCGTATAATCACCGCCGCCGCGGACTCTGAGCGCCGTCGTTTCAGGAGCGGTCGGCGAGAATCCAGCGAGAGACGCGGCCGACGTAGAGATGGCGGAGCTGGCTTCGCGGCGGCGGGCTGCTGGAGACCCGCGCAAGCTTCGCCTCGTCATTCGCGGCGTTGGCCCCGCTCGTCTCCGGTTTCCCTTGGGGCGTCGCCTTGCTCTCTTTGGGGTCGCCCCGACTGAGCGCGGCGTCGTCGCGGGCCCTGAGGAGCGCATTCGGGCTCTGGGAAGCACGGGGCCCCGGCGTTCTCCCGGAAGCCTTGGGATCGGGGGGCCGCTGCGGGGCATGTTGCTCAGCGGTTGCCGAATGTCTCGGGGGCATGCCTGCCGCCCGCCACTCCTCGTCTTCTTCGTCGGCCCATGGGGCTCGTCCAGGACTCCGTGACGGGCGTCGATGCGGCTCCCGCTGCCGCGTGGTCAGGCGCGAGTAATAGGATTGTGGAACACCGACGTCAAGTGGTTGTCGGCGACAGCGAGTGCCACTCGACGGCCCTTGCTCTTGGCGGCGACGCCGACGTGCCAGCGCGGCTCCGCCTCCCGGCGGAACTTCGGCACCAATGTCTTGGAGCTCGACGTTTCCGCTCGGAAGCTACCGGTTACCCCCCGCAGCTCCTTCGGCGTTCCCCCCCCCCCCGTGCTCCTTGGACTTTGGCCGGGCCTTTCCGCCCCTGAACCAGGCGTTCCTGCCGTTCGTCCCCCCCCCCCCCCCCCTTTTGGAATTCATCCGCTACGTGTATTCGGCGACCGAGGGGCCTGTCCAGGTGTGAGGCGCGTTCCAGATGCTCTGTTGGCTCCGCGGTGCAATCGTTCAGGGGCGCGCTCCATCGGGAACGTTGTTGTTTTCTGGCGCAATTGTCTTTCTGGATGACATCGGCGCGTCGATTGAAGTTCCCGGGCTGGGCCTCGTGCGGGCCCGCGCCGACAACGTCGAAGGCGCCCCCGAGGGGGATCCGAGCGCTCCCGGAGGTTCGGCGGGCCGCGGCCCTCGCGGCCTCGACTGCGCATCTCTGCCTGAAGGCTTCCAAGTGCAAGGCGGTCCCGCTCTCGGCCCCGCGTCCCGCGCCGCTGGCCTCCGCGGCGGCGGCTGAGATGGCCCGCCATTCCCTTGCATTGGGGGCTTCTTCGGTCGCGCCATCCCTGGCCTATCTGGGCGCCCGCGTGGGCCCCACGCGGGCCAACTGCCGAGACATGGTGGGCCGACCCTGTCGCCGAGCTCAGATTGCAGGCCATCGGGCGGAGCGCCACTCCCGCGATCATTTTCTGCGATCTTGTGCAGTGGGGGCCCATGCCAAGAACGTCCTTCTTGCCTCCCGGATGCCTTGGGTTTCTTGGGTTTCGATGTTTTTTCCTCTTCGCTGAGAAGCGCGACGTTCTCGCGCCGAAATCCAATGGGTGCCCTGGGGTCTCAGGGTTGGGTTTCTTGTGGAAGGTCTCTTGTGAACTGGCCTCCGATGTGCATCGCGCGTGCTCCTGGCACATGATCGCGCGTGGCCCAGTTCGTGTGGGCGCCGCCGAGGCCGCTGAAGCTCGAGCTGTCGGTCCTGGCTCGGGTCTCCCGCGCGCCACAGGTGCGTTCAACCTCAGCGCCCGGAGCCACTTCGAGGGGTGGGGCGGCCCGGAGATCGTGCGATGGGCGCGCCTGGGCGTCTCCTCTCTGGCGCGCGCGGCTCTGCGGGTCTTTCCCGAGCACGCTCGGCTCCCGGCCCGGTTGCAGGCGCGCGCCGGGGCGAGCCCGGCGTTGGGCACCTGGAGATGCTGTGGACAGGCCGACGCAACCCGAGTTTCTGGCCACCTCCCGCCTTCGTGAAGGTGGTTGCCAACGCCGTGGCCGGCAGTGGGCCGCGCCCGCGCGTGGAGGTGATGTTTCCGCCCGCGTTCGCGGCGGCTCGATCTGGACTCGAGCCCTCTCTCGGGCGCCGCCCTCGTCCTCGGCGCGCTGCGCGCCGTCCTTTCGTGCGCGGGCCCTTGGCGAGGGGCCCCCCGCCAGCTTGCCGGCCATCCGCATCAGAAAGCTACTCCGCCGTCGTCGCCATGAAGCCGACCTCGTTTGCTGGGGCGGGGTCAAGGCGCTGCTCGCTCGCTGCCCGTGCTCGAGGGCCTGGGCCGCGTTGCGGACGTGGCCTGGCGCATGGCTGACCTCCTCGCGGATCGTCCGCCCGCTGGGCAAGCGCTGCAGCGCCTTCTGGTGCCGCGGCGCGCCCGTCGCTTTGCGTCACTTCGCTCGCTGTTGCCCGCTCCGTGCGGCGCTGCGCCGGGCGTCGTGCGATCGTTCCCGCTGCCCGTTCTCCTTGCGGCCGCTGTCTGAGTCCCAAGCGTGGAGCTGTGCGCTCGCAGGTGTGCGCTCGACGCGCATGGCCATCCCTCGGCGTTCTCCGAGGCTCACGCCAGGCGTCTCGTTCTCGCCTTCGACGCCGCTCACTTTGATTTTGCTCCCCCACCGTCCTCGCGGCGGGCCTCGCCGCCTCCCATGCCCTGGGATGCCGATGGCGCTGATTAGATCGTTGTCTCGAGTGCCGGCGCTTCGGTTTGAGTGGCGTGCCCATTTGCCCCTCCCTCGCCGTGCCCGCGAAGTTTTTCTCGAACATCAGCTGCACGCCCGTGCCCGATTTCGCCCGCTCCTTCGGTTGCCCCTAGAAGGCCGATGTCGTTCCGAAGTTGTCCCTCTTGGTCGTAGGCGTCCTCTGGCGGTGAGACCGCGTTCCCTCCCTGTTTCGTCGCATCCCCCCCCCGTCTGTCCCTGTCTCGCTCCCGCCTCGCCTGCGAACGTTGGTGCGTCGGTCACCGTGCCCGGCCAAATGAGGCCCCCGACCTCAATTCTTGCCGCTCCGCCCCAGCCTCCAGGGCACTCGCACGCGTCGCCGCTGCACTTCTCGTCGCGCCCTCCCGTTTCCTTCTCGCCCCGTCCTTCGCTCACGAGCTCCCTCCTCCTCCTCCTCCTCCTCCTCCTCCTCCTCCTCCTCCTCCTCTTCCTCCTCCTCCTCTCCTCCTCCTCCTCCTCCTCCTCCTCCTCCTCCTCCTCCCTCCTCCTCCTCCTCCTCCCCCTCCTCCTCCTCCTCCTCCTCCTCCCCCTCCTCCCCCTCCCCCTCCTCCTCCTCCGCCTGCCGCGCCCGCCCGTGCCCCGCCTCCCTCCCTCGCCCCGCCATCCGTGGCCCCCGATGCGCCCTGCCGCCGTTGCCGGGGGATCGACGCCGTCGACGCCGGCACGCCGCGGCCACCCCAGCGCAGAGGGGCGCCGCCGCGCGACCGACCGACCGCTCCCCGGGCCCGCGGGTCGTGCGGTGCCCCTGTGGGGACCGAGGGCTCCTCTCCCCTGCGCTTGCCTCCTCCGCCCCTTCCCCTCCTCCTCCGCCTCCGTCCCTCTCCTCGGTCTTCCCCGCCCTGCCCCTCGCCCTCCACGACCCGCGTCTTCTCCGCCCTCGTCCCTCTCCGCGGTCCTCTTTCTCAGCCTCTCAGATCTTTCTCTTCGATCCTCCTCTTCCTCCTCCTCCTCGACCCTCTCTTCCTCCTCTTCGCTCCTCCTCTTCGATCCTCCTCTTCCTCCTCTTCGATCCTCTCTTTCTCCTCGATCCTCCTCCTCGACCCTCCTCTTCGATCCTCCTCTCCGAGTCTGCCTCGGCGGGGGCTGGCCGCGCTCGGAGGACCGCCAGCCTGCCGGCCTGCCGCGGGTTCGTCGGCGAGGCGATCCTGTGCCTGGAGTTCGCCAAAAAGCGCGAGGCTGTCCCACTTCCGCGAGGGAGGCGTGGGGGATTTGAGAGAGGAGGTGAAGGCCAGTCTGGGGACCGCCTCTGCTTTCTATTACGAACTTGTAACACCCGCGCGTCAATGTTATGCTGAACTCTGCTCGCCCACACTATCTACTTGTCACGGGCACTGTTGCGTTTCCGGCATAGGTTGACGACACTTTGCATCGGCTACTGCGCTGGCCATCTGATGCCGAGGGCGGTTGCATTCCAACTCCGTCTCCTCTCTCCTGTCCTTTCGTGAGATCTACATCACCTCTGTCCTTTCTACGTTTTCCTTTAGCCATATATTGTCCTCGCAGCATATATTGTCGCTCCAGCATATATTGTTGCTCCAGCATATATTGTCGCTCCAGCATATATTGTCCTCGCAGCATAAGAGGGCCCCAAGAGGGCCCCAAGAGGGCCCCAAGAAGGCCTCAGGAATTATGTACCAACCCAGCGGCCGCTGGTACATAACTCCTGAACCCTCTTGGGGCCCTCTGAGGGCCCTCTCGGGCCCCAGGTTGGCCCTAAGAGGGCCCCAAGAGGGCCCCAAGAGGGCCCCACGAGGGCCCCAAGAGGGCTCCAAGAGGGCCCCAAGAAGGCCCCAGGAATTATGCACCAAGCCAGCGGCCGCTGGTACATAACTCTTTGGGCCCTCCTCCGCCTCCTCCTCGGCGACGACGACGAGGAGGAGGTGTAAACGCACCCTTACCCAGACCCTGCAGGACCAGGCAGCGACACCTGGACCAAATTTCCCGGCCCCTGTTTTGACCCCAGAGCTCTAGACCCCGTCCAGGACTTCCCGACCCCAACCCGGAGCTTTCGGCCCCATCCCGGAGCTCTCGACCCGCAGACGACGGCGACGACGACGACGACGACGCCTCGACCTGGAGTGGTAAGTTTTGCTGCTGCTTTTCCCCAGGGTTTCGGAGCCCTCGGGGCCCGGGGGGGCCCCAGAACGGATCCGAAGCCTTTAGTTTTTCTGGCCCGCGACCGACGACCGGCGACGAAGACGACGACGACGGGCATGAGTTACTTGGCGCCCCCCCTTGGGAGCATCGGGTAACTGGGGGGTGCGCTCCCACACCCCCCACTTACCCAGTGTCCCCCGGGGGACATCGGGTAACTCGACCTTGCAGGGTGGGGGTGTTAGGCACGGGTCATCCAGTGGCGAGGGGGGGGCATCGGGTAACTCGACCTTGCGCGGGGGGGTGTCGGGCATGAGTTACCCGGGGTCCCCCGGGGGACATCGGGTAAGCGGGGGGTGCGCCCCACACCCCCCACTTACCCGGTGTCCCCCGAGGGGCGTCGGGCAAATCGACCTTGTAAGGAGCACATTCGGCATTATTCGGTAAACTGGTGGGCCCGCCTGGCCCATGGGACAACGGAGTCACCCAGTGGTCCCCTTGGGACATCGGCCCGTGGGACATCGGAGTTACCCGGTGTCCCCCGGGGGACATCGGGCAACTCGACCTTGCAGGGAGGTGTTTGGGCATGGTTACCCGGTGGCCCCCCGTGGGACATCGGAATTACCCGGTGTCCCCCGTGGGACATCGGAGTTACCCGGTGGTCCCCGTGGGACATCAGCCCGTGGGACATCGGAGTTACCCGGTGTCCCCCGTGGAACATCGGAGTTACCCGGTGGTCCCCGTAGGACATCGGCCCGTGGGACATCTGAATTACCCGGTGTCCCCCGGGGGACATCGGGTAACTTGACCTCCCAGGGGGGGTCTGGGCACGAGTTACCCGGTGCCCCCCTGTGGGAAATCGGAGTTACCGGGTGTCCCCCGTGGGACATCGGAGTTACCCGGTGGTCCCCGTGGGACATCGGCCCGTGGGACATCGGAGTTACCGGGTGTCCCCCGTGGGACATCGGAGTTACCCGGTGTCCCCCAACGGAGTTACCCGGTGGTCCCCGTGGGACATCGGCCCGTGGGACATCGGAGTTACCCGGTGTCCCCCGGGGGACATCGGGTATCGACCTTGCAGGGGGGGGGTCTGGGCATGAGTCACCCGGTGGCCCCCCGTGGGACATCGGAGTTGCCGAGTGTCCCCCGTGGGACATCGGAGTTACCCGGTGGTCCCCGTGGGACATCAGTCCGTGGGACATCGGAGTCACCCGGTGGTCCCCGTGGGACACCGGCCCGTGGGACATCGGAGTTACCCGGTGTCCCCCGTGGGACATCGGAGTTACCCGGTGGTCCCCGTGGGACATCGGCCCGTGGGACATCGGAGTTACTCGGTGTCCCCCGTCGGACATCGCAGGTACCCGGTGGTCTCCGTGGGACTCCGGCCTGGCTCCTCTGTGGGCCCAAAAGTAAGCTCCAAGAGGGCCCTAAGAGGGTCCCAAGAGGGCCCCAAGAGGGCTCCAAGAGGGCCCCAATAGGGCCCCAAGAGGGCCCCAAGAGGGCTCCAAGAGGGCCCCAATAAGGCCCCAGGAATTATGTACCAACCCAGCGGCCGCTGGCATATAACTCTTTGCGCCCTCGTGAGGCCCTCTGAGGGCCCTCTTGGAGCCCTCTTGGGCCCCTGGTTGGCCCTAAGAGGGCCCCAAGAAGGCCCCGGGAATTATGTACCAACCCAGCGGCCGCTGGTACATAACTCCTGGGGCCCTCTGGGGGCCCTCTTGGGGCCCTCTGAGGGCCCTCTCGGAGCCCAAGGGGGCCCCAAGAGGGCCCCAAGAGGGCCCCAAGAATGCCCCGGGAATTATGTACCAACCCAGGGGCCGCTGGTACATAACTCCTGAACCCTCTTGGGGCCCTCTGAGGGCCCTCTCGGAGCCCTCTCGGGCCCCAGGAGGGCCCCAAGAGGGCCCCAAGAGGGCCCCCGGAATTATGCACCAACCCAGCGGCCGCTGGCACATAAATCCTGAACCCTCTTGGGGCCCTCTTGGGGCCCTCTTGGAGCCCTCTTGGGCCCTTCTTTGGACCAGATGATGGCTCCAAGAGGGCCCTAAGAGGGCCCCAAGACAGGCCCAAGAGGGGCCCAAGAGAGGCTTCAGAAACCGCTAGTAGGTGTCATCGAACTGCGCGTCTGGATGAGACCTCTCAGTGGTCTCTGGGGCGCGTCTTGGAGCCCTCTTGGGCCCTCTGGAGCCCCCTCGGTGCCCCCAAAAATGTTCCAAGGAACATCCGAGGGGGTCGAGGGGGAGGTAGAGGGGAGGTGGAGGGGGAGTTGGAGGGGGAGTGGAGGGGGAGGTGGAGGGGGGGCGGAGGGGGGTGGTGGAAGGGGGGGTGGAGGGGGGGTGGGGGGGTTGGTGGAGGGGGGAGGGAGAGGGAGAGGGGTTTGATTAGGAAACTGGAAGAGGTTTGACGACCACGACGACAACGACGACGACGACGCCGACGACGACGACGACGACGACGACGACGACGACGACGACGACGACGACGACCACCATCACGAGTGGGCGCTTTGGAGTTCTCGTGGGCAGTCTTGGAGGCGCCTTTGGGGCCTCTTGGACCGTCTGGAGGCCGTCATGGGGCCATCTTGGAGGCCTCTTGGGCGCTCTTGGGGCCATCTTGGGGGTCTCTTGGGCGGCATTGGGCCGTCGGCAGGCGGCAAACGTCAAAATCCGTCAAGAGCCCACGGGAATTCAGCTGTCTTTGCCTCTTCGGGCCTTCCTGCAGGTCCCCTTGGAGGCTTCTTGGACTGCATTGGAAGCCTCTTGGGGGCCTTTGGGGCCGTCCTGGGCCATCTTGGGGCCATCTTGGAGCGCTTCGGGTGCATCTTGGGCCGTCTTGGAGACATATTGGGGCCGTCTTGGGGGGCTCTCTTGGGGCAATCCTAGCCGCCTTGGAGGCATCTTGGTGACCATCTTGGGCCATTTGGGCCGTCTTGGTGGCGATGTGGGCCGCACCTTCTGGTCCTTCCGAGGGGCAGGCGGTCTTGGCCGAAGGCCACTGGGAAGGGTTTGAAAATAACAAGAGCAGCAAAATGTCTGGCACGCCGTCCACCCCTGCGGCAAGCACAGGGGGCGGCGGATCCAAGACGCCTACGGCGAATCACCGCCGCCCCCAGCCTTTTTGAGAAGCGCCTATGTGGCCAAACGTTGGGCCCCAGTTTGGCCAAACTATCAGATTATGTTTTCCCCCAGCCGCTCTGGAAACTCTTCGGGGAACACTTGGGGGAGGCTGAGGGGGAGGATCAGGAGAGGGAGGAGGAGGAGGAGAAGGAGGAGGAGGAGGAGACCTCTTGGGAGCCTCTTGGAGCACTCTTGTGGGCCTCCTGGGGGCTTCCCGGGGGCCTCTTGGAGGCCTCTTGGGGGCCTTAGGCCTCTTGGGGGCCTTGGGGGCGTCTTGGGGGCCTCTCCTTGGCCGTCTTAAAGCGTTCCTGGCCCGTCTGACGGGTCTGACGCCGTCGGAAGCCGTCTTGGGAGCCTCTCTGAACCGATGTGGGGTCCTCTTGATGCGCTTCAGGGCCGTCTTGGAGGCCATCTTGGGCGTCTTAGAGGCCTCTTTGGGCCGTCTTTGGGGCCTCCTGGGCCGTCATGGGGCCATCTTGGAAGCCTCCTGGGCGCACTGGGGGCGAGGAGGAGGAGGAGGAGGAGGAGGAGGAGGAGGAGGAGGAGGAGGAGGAGGAGGAATAGGAGGATGAGGTTGAGGAGGAGGAGGAGGAGGAGGAGGAGGAGGAGGAGGAAGAGGAGGAAGAGGAAGAAAAGGACTGGGAAAAGCAGGCGAAGAGGGAGTAGGAAGAGAAACAGGGAGGAGGACCAGGAGAAGGAGGCAGGGGGTAGGAGCGAGGAGACACAGTCGGACAACGAGAGACAAAGTTGGAGCAACCCCCAACCCCAAGAGTCTGGGGGCGCCCCAGAGTCTGCACAACACCTTTTTCAGATCAGGCAGAATGCTGGTGCCGCATCGAGCTCATGGAGAAGCTCCGCAGGCAGGTGAGGGACGACTACGAAGAGGCCAAGCGGCGTGGCCGGGACCGCCCGTATGATTCCGAGCGCCCTTGGAGTTTGGTTTGGCAGGCGGCAGCTGGCGGCGC